ACAAAATTGTATGTGAAATAAAGGTAGCTATGTTTGACCGGGCATAGAGTATTGGGGTGTAATGTAAGCAATGGCACAGAGCAAACACGTTTGAAAGCTATCCACTAGAGTTGTGTCAAATCAGTTCATAGTTCAGTACTACAGGTTCTAAGCGTTTGAGTGAGTGATTTCATATATTTTATATTATTCATACGCAGAATTTTTAAACAAACGACTGGAATCTACAGAACTAAATAAGGAACTAGATCGTTCGAACTAGATTAGCATAACCCTTCTGTCCTCCTGAAGGAAAAAATAATGATTTCAGCATGAAGTATAAATAATGGCATTAACAATACACACTTTAAACTAAGTCTGGGTCTCTAAGGGCCCTTGACAATTTTACGTATTGGGGCCTTTTGTAATTATGTGTTATATACAGGGTGAAATAAAAACAAAGTCAAACATCATAATTTTTACATTTTTTTTTTAATTTTATTCAATGAAAGCAAAAAATGTCGGAAACAGCATCAAATTCTAGAATAAGTTTAGATTTGTTCGAATTGGTCACCTTTGGCACGAATTATGGTCTTCAAACGGCCAATGAAATGTCACCCGTTGCCTGAATGTTGCTCTGCGGCATTTTGGCCCATTCCCGACAAAGCGCTTGCTTGAGGTAAACGACACTTTGGTAATTTTTAGTGCCTACCTTGCTTCAAAACTCCAAAACCGTCCGTCTGTCCATGTATTCTTGTGAACAAAATGCAGGTCGCATTTATTATCCGATTGCGATGAAATTTTCCAAACAATATTTTTTTGGCCCAAGGACGAACCCTATTGAAATTGGTGAGAATCGGATCAAATTAAGATATAGCTCCCATATATATCTTCATCCGATTTCGTGTTAAATGAGCACCAAATGTTCACTATCAGTCCAAATTACCTGAATTTTGGCACACCCAACCGGGTTCGGCCTAGAAGCAAGTATATCAAAATCGGTTCAGATATAGCTATAGCTCCCATATATATCTTTCATCCGATTTGATCTTTAAGTCCCTCACATTCCTACTATGCACTTCACAACCGTGATATTTGGTACCAGGTATTAGATGGAGTACAGAAATAGCTGTTTTAAATTTTATCGAAATCGGTTCAGATTTGGATATAGCTCCCATATATATCTTCATCCGATTTCGGGTTAATTGACCACCAAATGGCCAATATCAGCCCAAATGGCCCGAATTTTGGCACATGTGACCGAGATTAGCCTTAAAGTAAATACAACAAATTTGGAGAAAATCGGTTCAGATTTGGATATAGCTCCCATATATATCTTCATCCGATTTCGGGTTAATTGTGCTCCAAATGGCCGATATAAGTCCAAATGGACTGAATTTTAGTACATCGGACCAAATTCAGCCTAGAAGCAAGTATATGAAATTTAGTGAAAATCGGTTCAGATATAGATATAGCAACCATATATATGTTTCATCCGATTTAGTGTTTTAGTCCCTTACATTCGTAATGTTCACTCCACAACCGTGATATTTGGTACCAGGTATTAGATGGAGCACAGGAATAGCTGTTTTAAATTTTATCGAAATCGGTTCAGATTTAGATATAGCTCCCATATATATCTTCATCCGATTTCGGGTTATTGACCACCAAATGGCCGTAATAGCATCAATTTTGGCAAATCCGACCGAAACCAGCTTAGAAGCAAGTACACCAATTTTAGTAAAAATCGGTTCAGATATAGCTATAGCTCCCATATATATGTTTCATTCGATTTCGTCTTTAAATCCCTCACATTCGTAATATGCACTCCACAGAAATGATATTTGGTACCAGTTATCAGATAAAGTCCAAAAATAGTTGATTTTAATTGTATTAAAATCTGTTCCGATTTGGATATGCCTCCTATATATATCTTCATCCGATTTCGTGTTAATTGTGCATCAAATGGCCAATATCAGCCCAAATGGCATGAATTTTGGCAAATCCGACCGAAACCAGCCTATAAGCAAGTACACACATTTTAGTAAAAATCGGTTCAGATATAGCTCTAGCTCCATATATATGTTTCATCCGATTTGCTCTTTAAGTCCCTTACATTCGTAATATACTCTTCACAGGAATGATATTTGGTACCATCCGATTTCGGATTAAATGTGCAGCAAATGGCTAATATTGGTACATCAAATTTAGTGAAAATCGGTCGGATACAGCTATAGCTCCTATATATACCTTTCATCCGATTTGTACTTTAAGTCCCTCAAATTCGAAAAATGTACGATACAAGAATAATATTTGGTATCAGATGCAGCCAAGAAATATCTTCTTTTTCAGTTTTACAAATATCGGTTCAGATTTGGATATACCTCCTATATATATCTTCATCCAATTTCGTGTTGATTGCGCACCAAATGTCCAATATCAGCCCAAATGTCCTGGGTTTTGGCAAATCTGACCGAATTCAGCCTAGAATCAAATACATCAAACTTGGTGAAAATCGGTTCAGATATAGCTATAGTTCGTAAAATGCACGATAGATAGAAATGCTCTGTATAAACCTTTTTACGAGAGCTCTACTAAATATGCATAGTGGTGTAGGGTATCATATAGTCGGCCCCGCCCGACTTTTGAGCTTTCCTTACTGGTTTTTTTTATCGAAGAAAACCAAATTCGGTAGTTCAACACTTTCGGCCAAGCGAAGAAACTCTTTAGCTCTTTTGAGTCTATTTTCTATCCGTTGCGGTGTAAGTTCTTGCACTTTTTGGAATTTTAATGGCTTTACCCCGAACTCATTTTTCAATATTTGCCGAATGGAATATTGCGATATGTTCAGCTCACGAGCCACTTTTCGGCCACTGCGACGCGGGTTTCGATCAAGTCGCTTCTTTACTTTTCAAACCAATTTTTGCTGATGTTGCTGTTTTCTTCCAAAGAGAGGTGGATGCTTATTTCGAGTTTCTTGTGTTATTAAAAATAATGACATGTGTGAGAACCGGATGCTTATTTCGGATTTTATGTACCTTTCGTTTACTCAAAAATTTTGACTCTCTGTGGGGGAGCTACCAGAAGAAATGGTCCGATCTGTACTATCTTTAATACAGATAAAATCCATATTCGTTCTCTTACATCACATTTTATAAGAGTTATAATCATTCAAAATGTTGATTTGATGAAGTGGACCGATATTGTCCATTTTCGCACTTGACCTACAACTGATGCAAATATTAGGATTTGCAAAGTTAGAGACAAATCTGACTATCTTTCCTCTTTCTGCCCAGTATTTTTTTTTTTTTTTTTGAAAATGTCGACCTTTGGTGGTGTAGGGAGCAAAAGGAGTGGACCAATATTGCCCATCTCCAAACCCGATCTAAGTTTGTAGATAATATTACGATGTACTAAGGTTGAACCAAATCGTATACTCCCTTCGTGAGTTTTCGTGAGCACAAGCCAGCGGACAGACAGGCGGACGGACACGCGGACATCACTGGAACGCTTTCAAATGTCCTGAAACGGATTTGGTCCAAAGAGACTTAGGGTCTATAACCGTTAATTCGATGAGGCACAATTTGGCTGTATCTAGCCATGTGGCTGTGGGTATAAAAAACAGGCTATCGATTTTTGCCGGGAAGTCAACTTCGTCGTTAAGTCCTTTAACAATTCTCGACTGTAGGCCAGGAAGTCTTTGAACAAGTTTTTATTTTTTTAATCCAAGTATTTTCAGTTAGGAAGTCCTTTAGAAAGTTTCTTAAACGTCACAATTTTTGGTCAAAGAGTTTTTTACAATATTTTTAATAAATCTTAAAAGCGGATGTTTAAAGTATGCCCAATTTTCCCTAATAATATATATTAAAATATATACTAAAAAGACCAAGGTTGAAATGAGGAGGACTTCTAAACTTTGTTAATAATGTCTCAAGATGTTACGATGTTTATAAAAGTATATCACTTTATCCACAAATTTGAAATAATTTTATTAATCCACTAGTTTTTTAAGAGACCGTTGAAAAATGTCCTTAAAAGTGTACATTGTAAATATATTCATAAAAATTCGCAAAGACGTTGTAGAAACAATTTTTTTGTCGGAAAACTTTGTTTTTGATTCCTCGATTTATTAAACAATTATCATCAAAAAATATAAAAACTATAGTGAACACTTTTTCTTAAGTTAAATGTTTACTTTTGAGAACCTAGAAAAAAAAAACATTCTTAAAAAAATATCTTAAAAGATCATCAAAAATTGTCGATTTAAAAAAAACTCAATAAGAAGGTATTCGAAATTATTTCTTAAAAACTCCACGGTTTTTGGTCATGAGACAATGTGGAAATATTTTTAAAAAAAATCACGGTTGTAGAATGTCCTTGTTAAACAATTTTTATTGAAACTTATATTGTTATGAAAGAAGTTTGGTTACAATCACGAAAATACTTCGCAGTTCATAACAATTATTTGTGAAGGAGGTGTCAAAAGAAGGAGTATGATGCCATGAATCTAACAGTGTTATAAATATTACAATGTGGTTGATAGTATAGAAATTAATGTTTATTTATTTTAATATCCAGCATTAACAAATATTTTCGCATACAGGTAAATATATAGGATATTCCGAATGTCCTAGGTGGCGTATGCTTGATATCGCATCATCGCATAATCGTGTATACGTATTGAATAAACGGAATCCTTTGCAAATATCTCCATAACCAGAAACAATATGGTAACACCACAATTAATGTGACAAATACATAAAACTAGGCACAATGAGAATTTACCCCAAAAGAGAAAACGAGTGAGAGAGAGATTACAACGCAGGAAAGAGAATAAGCAACAAATCACAACAGCCCCCCATTAACAAGTTGGAGAATGTAAACAAACATTAAGTGTAAACAACAGTTAACAAAGAGCCGTTTGTTCAGTGCATGCGGTGAAAGGGAAGAGAGGCAAGCCAGTGTGATTTTCTAGGAATTAGTGTGTGATACACACACATATACAACCAACCTGCCTCACAGAAAGGTATACGAGAGTGTGCGAAAACCAAAACAAATGTTGTTGCCTTCTGATGTATCCATTGCCATAGCCAGCCAACCATTAACATCGTCGCTGTTGTAATCGTCCGTAGGGGTCGGTCGTTTTGCGTATCTTAGACAAGCGAACGAGTGTGTGAGCGAACGAGCGAGCGAGTCAGGGAGTGATTGAGTGTATGTGTGCGCGCCATTCGTGCCTGATTGTTGTGGATTTCTCATGTACCCTTTTGCAGGGAATGCAATTTTTCAGTTTATAGAAAAACACCGAAGAGTTACGAACGTCGTAGCTCCTCGAGAAGCTCTAGCTTGCGGGCAATCCAAAGAAAAAAATTGTTTTCATACATAGCAAATATTTGGTGCACATTTTCCCAAGTGGAAATAGTTAAAAGGATAAAGAAGAGGAAGCAGCAAGAAAATATCTATAAATGTTGAGCATGAAAAACATGATTTAAAGTGTGAATTTTTTAAAGAAAATTGTTTGTTAAACGTAACAACAAATAACAGTTGTAGCAACAGCTGATAAACATAAATACATACATACCTATTCGATTTAAATAATATAGAAGTGCTTTAAGTAGTGCAAACGCAATTGCCCCTGCCGTGTTTTCTTAATTTTTAACTGCTTTAAAGTGCTTAGTAAAAATCCTATAAAAATTGGAGGAAATCCCAATTACAGACAAACCTTACAAAAGGAAACCATGTCAACGTTACCATTCCTCCTCAGCGTAGCCGATGAGCTGGACAACATCAACTCACAGTCGTACATGGACGATTTCGGGTTGGGTTTCCATCCCCATCGCCAGTACTACAGGACTCCGACCATCCAGCTTTCTCTACCGGCTGGAACCGAATGGATGCAGCCCGAGGGAAGGCATCACTCACGCTACAGATCCGCCTTCCGCTATGGCATGGAGACGCAGAATAATCTCACCTCGCCGGCCGAGAACGACGAAGAGGACAACGAGGAACAGTACGAGAGTTCGCACAAGGATAGCCGTGACAATGACAAAGCCGGACAGGCCACAACGTCCTCGGCCCAAAAGTTCGTATCGGCCTTGAATTCGAATCGTCCCGATGCCAGCGACAGCATTGACAACTCAATGCAGCTGTTCAATTTGTCGAAGAAATGCGGTAAAAACTATTACCGTCATCCGGAGCCTTGCACTTCATCAGCATCGTTAGCCACACCACCGCCCCTGCCGCCACGTAGTGCCACAGCGACATCAGCCGCTGCTGCCGCCGCCGCTGCTGCTGCTGCAGCCACCACATCGACCAAGGAAAAGCCCAGTATGAGCTATCGCCTGCACAGCAAATGCCTGGAGGGCACCAATTCATCATCGGAGGAAAGTTTGCAGAAAGTCACCTCGTCCATAGAGTTTTTGACGTGTTTCTTGTTGAAGAAATCGCGTGTCAGCAAACCCTCAACAGCCGGGTCGGCCGAGGCTAAGAAATCTTAGGACAACGATAATACACCGACAAAATCAACGCTAGTGTCGAAACGACGTAGTCATTGTTTTTAAAATTAAAGCAAAAAAGCAAGGCATGGAAAACAACTCCCCACGTAACGCAAAACACACACACACACCCCAAACTCCTAAAACACACATACACACACACAGAGACTCGACACTCTAGGACACAAAGCAAGTAGAGCAGCCACAGCAACAAATATTCAAAGAATAATATTCTAAAATTTAAGTGCATAGCAAAACAAAGCAACAACAACAAAATGAAATATAAACCAAAGTGTAGTAACTCAACTTAACCAAAAAAAAGTAAAACTAAAACAACAGCAACAACAACTTAACATAGTAGTAAGTAGCAAATTAAACCAACAACAAAGTTTAATAGCAAAACAAAGTAAAAGAAAAAAAACAAAATAAGAAACCATAAATAGAAGATTGAAAACAACAACAACAAAAACAAACAAGTTTACATACATACAAACATACATAAATAAATATGTAGTGTATCCTTTGTCCTTCCTTCCTTTCTTTACTTTCATTATTTCTGTATTAACCGAATATGTGTTCTTTGCAAGGAAACTTTAATTGAGTCCTTTGTCCTTCATGCTTTGTTCTCCTACATTTAAGTTTCGTCCCCAAAATTGAAATTGTTTCGGCACTCACAAACACACTCACATATATGTGAAAGTATTATTAAATTCCGAAAAATTGTATTTCCGTGTTGTATTTCTGACAATGATTCGAAGAGATTGAGGATGAAAAGTTTCTATGCGTGGAATTGAATCCTTCGATTTAATTGGTAAGAAATTTTCCATTAGTCATTCAAGACAACGCAATATTGATCCGAATCGGTCATGGAAGTCATTAAGAAAATTGTTCAATGCGAATTAGAGATTACATTAGGAAAGAATTGAGTTAATGGAAGGCGAAGTAAACGGAAAGCCGTCTTTATACCGAAGTGTTTTCCAAACTAACGTTTTGTTTGTAGAAATGGTGATGCCGTTAGTTCTAAGAGGGAAATTTAAGGGAGTAATAATCAGATCATGTATTTTTATACCCTACTTCTTAGGATGGAGGTGTATGAAATGTGAAATCCCGTCTCTCCGTTCAAGAGGTGGGCATGCGTCTGAAAAAAATAACTTTAGCTTCCAAACGGATTTAAGGACGTACATGGATACAATTTAAATATAGGGTTCCGAAGCCGGAATAAAAAAAGTTTAAGAATTGTTCCGTGGATCAATGCTCTTTGGAGATAATGGACAAGTAGTGAATATGAAATTTATTTTCTTGTGAAAGTGTTTGAAATAGCCTAAGCCGATTAAATATTCTGGTGATTGGTATTGAAAATGGGGTCCATCAGCTCAGATTTAGATATAGTCCATGTTTTACTGTGCCCCCTATTTTAGGGCATTCTAAGTATTTTAGGTTATTGGTAGGTAGATTTTCCCCACAGAAATGTCAATGTTACTGTGCCCCCTTATTTTAGGGCATTCTAAATATTTTAGGTTATTTGTAGGTAGATTTTCCCCGCAAAAATATCAATACAGCTCCAATACTTTAAATAGAACTTTCCGATTTTAAGTTTACCTAAGTATTAAGATAATCTTTTTGGTATTGACCCAATATTAAGTTACTTCCTAATTTAAGACATTTCGAAGATTTTAACAAGATTTTTGCAGGGGATGAGGTATTAGGGGGGAGGGGGTGGTGTGTAGAAAAATGCTTCCACATAAGATCTCTTGTTTTGAATAACCAAAACGATTATAAAATCCGACATAAGCATCCGTTTCTCTTCATATTTCACACATCCTATTATTTCTTTTAATACAAGATCTGGGTCAAAAATTTGAATATCCATGAAGTTCATAAAACGCGAAATTAACATTCGATTCCATTCAGACTCATTCAATATTTCCGTCAACACAAGATCTGTTATAAAGATGGTAGAGATCGGACCCTTTCTTCTGGTACCTCCCCCACACAGGTTTCAAGATTTTGAAAAACAAAACGCCCAAAGAAAGCGAAATTACTTTCTTTTACTTTCACACATACAAACTTTTCTGCTAACACAAGTTATCTGCGTGTCCCTTCCGGTCCCACACCCACAAAGGTCACAATATTCAATACATTTATCTGTCATAACTTGCCAAACAAGTCAGTGACTCTTTGCAACTTGCAATATCTAAATATTTCTCTCAACCTGAGATGAATATGAAATGTATGATTTGGCATAAAATTGGATATAAATGTTTGATTTTCATGTAATTTTTCCCATACCAATATTTTTATCTGTACTAGATGAAGTGTGAAAATAGAATACTTCGGTCCACAATATTTGATACCTCACGCACATTTCTAAAAATGAAACTGGCTCGTCGCAATATTTATATCATATTTATTTAGGGCCGATACGACATGGACAATATTGGCCGATTCCTTCGGAAGCTACCCCTCATAGAGAGTCCACTTGAATAATCATAACAGAAAAATATATTTAAACAAATAAGCAAAGGCTACAATCGAGCGGGGCCGACCGTTGAATACCCTACAACACTATAATAAATTATACAGTTTATATAGGCGAGATACTCGAAAGAATTCCACAAGATATTGTGACAAATAATAAAAGGAAACCATCAGGTTTCGTTCTCTAATTTCCGAATAATAGCAACTTAAACTAATTTGCTCATTTCCAATTTATTGGTAGATGTTGCACGTAAATGGTCTTCCTAGATCTGGAACCAATATTTCCCAAAGATCTATAATCTCTCAGAAGTGGCAAAAGATTAACATTTATTATTGGTTTTTGACTGAAACGCGTCTATATGAGATACAGACATCTATATGAGATACAGACATGGCCATCTAAAACTATTTGGCTTTTGCAATGCCCGGTAACCGATAATTACGACTTGCTGACAATTTTGCAGTTTTTTTGGTCCATTTCAACCCCTAAATATATGGCGATTACCTCCAAAAAGAGTAGGCTTCTAATCTGACCCTCATCTTATCCCCATGCAAAATTTTATAAGGATCGGGCCATAAATGCGATCTGTATATGATATCCTGATATCCTAACTACTTAGTTTTGTTAGCTGTAGAAATATTACCAAATGTTTAAATCAAAATGAAAATATGCCAAAAATATGACAAAATTGAAAAAATATGAGAAAATATTACAAAATCAATATTTTCATCGTTAGAGAGATATTTTTATGCAATTTTTTTTGACGTTTTTTCTTTCCTGCCAAGAGGCCATTTTGAATTAATGAGAACTGTCGAAATCAGTTCAGCAGTTCTCGACATATAAGAGATCTTTCAAGCATATCTTCTTTGATAGACATATATATCGCACATATTTTGCTATATATCCGATTTGATGGATGTTAACATCAATGTAAAGATCAGAAGTAACCTTGTCATGACTATGTGATTTCGCCGGGATTTTAAATACTAGCGGTTTAATGAAAAATTTTGAATTTTTTCAACACAAAAGATATGGTCTATTTTACCCGCTAAATATTATCCGATGACAACCCAAATTGGTAGGCTTCTTCCCCGCCCTAAACTCTAGCTGCATGCGAAATTCCGTCGATTGGTCTATAATTGCGACCTGTATAGCTACTGCAAAATCCGACATTTTTTCAGTATTTGGTCCATTTCAACCCCTAAACATTTGGTGATCATCTCCAAAAGAAATAGGCTTCTATTCTGACCCTAACCCCACCTGCGTGCAAAATTTCGTAAGGATCGGGCCATAATTGCGACCTGTAGCGTGATTACAAATTAACATGGACAGACGGACAGACGGACGGACGGACGGACATACATAGCTAGATCGACTCAGCTCGGCGAGCTAGGAAGATCCATATATACTTTCCTATATGGGAAACCAATATTTCGAGGTGTTACAAAAATTCTGGCCCAATCAAACTTATAATACCCCCAACACATAGTGTTGTAGGGTATAATAATCGAACTATGGCTAAGGGTACACATCTGTCGGCAATCCGAATGATACTTTCTTAGCTTGTTTTATCTGTATTATATGAGGAATGAAAGTGGAATATTGCGGTCGACTATTCTGGTACCTTATGCACATTTTGACAGTTTCTAAAAATTATTACATATCTCATAAAAAGTGATGGATGTGGTCCACATAGTCCAAGCCTGGTATGTCGCAACATTTATATCAGATTTATTTCGGTTCGATACGAAACTGACAATATAGATCAATTCCTTCGGAACCCGCTCCCGCAAGCAAGTTAAAAAGGAAGTAAGTTCGGCTGGGGCGAACTTTGAATACCCTCCCCCATTTGGAACTAAATTGGAAATTTTCAAAAAAAAAAAATAAATAAATAAATAAATAATAATAATAATAATAATAATAATAATAATAATAATAATAATAATAATAATAATAATAATAATAATAATAATAATAATAATAATAATAATAATAATAATAATAATAATAATAATAATAATAATACTAATAATAATAATAATACTAATAATAATAATAATAATAATAATAATAATAATAATAATAATAATAATAATAATAATAATAATAATAATAATAATAATAATAATAATAATAATAATAATAATAATAATAATAATAATAATAATAATAATAATAATAATAATAATAATAATAATAATAATAATAATAATAATAATAATAATAATAATAATAATAATAATAATAATAATAATAATAATAATAATAATAATAATAATAATAATAATAATAATAATAATAATAATAATAATAATAATAATAATAATAATAATAATAATAATAATAATAGTAATAATAATAATAATAATAATAATAATAATAATAATAATAATAATAATAATAATAATAATAATAATAATATTAATAATCGGACCTACATAAGCATTGTTTGTCATAAGCCATTACACTATTTCAATTCGAAACTTGAACTAAACGGTGCATAATGTAGCTAAAATCATTAAAATATCGTATATAGGGAGGTACCGTTATATCGGAGCTATACGAAGTCGTGTACCTGCACAAAAAATGTTCTGTCACAGGTTGTAGCATCCATTACGAACTTCAAATACGACATTTCAAACAATTTCGGTGAGTATTGTACCTGAAATTGTCAAAATACCGAGTATAGGGAGGTACTGATATATGGGGCCTATACGAAGACCTGGACCTACATTGACAGTTTTTAGCCACATACTGTAGTTCCCATTACGAACTCCAAATACGTAATTTGAAACCACTCCGGTGAATAATGACGATAAAATCATAAAAATACCGAATATAGGGAGGTACCGTTATATGGGGGCTATATGAAAACGTGGACCTACATGGCCCACTCATGAACTTAAACTGTCTACTGGCAGAATAACCACGTGTGCAAAATTTTAGCCTTCTTCGTGATTACAACAGGCAGACGGACATGCAGACAGACCGAAAGACAGACAGCCGGACATCGCTAAAGGCCAATGAAACCGTCACACGTTGCATGAATGTTGCTCTGCGGTATTTTGGCCCATTCCCGGCGAAGCTCTTGCGTGAGGTGATCGACACTTTGGTAGTTTTTAGTGCCAACCTTGCTTTCCAAAATACTCCAGACACAATAGTCCAACGGATTGGTATCCGGAGATTTTGGTGGCCATTGTGCGCTGGAAAGAAGCGAGAAACCTTATTTTGTAACCATTCTTGGGTGGCGCGTGCTGATTCCTGTTGGAATGTCCACTGTCTGCGGCCAAAATGTTTGCGTGCCCAAGGCTTTAATACATTCTCCAGAATATTTTCGCGATAATATTCGGCATTTATTCTGATGCCACGGTCGTTAATACGAGCGGAGAGCGAACATTGGCTGTAGTGGCGGCCCACACCATCACCATGGCCGCCGCTGGAGTTCTGGTAGCCAACTGAAGGGGCACATTTTCAGCTGACCTCTTTGGCAAGTAAACACGATCAGTTTGTTTGTTTGCAAACTGATGGACAACG